CAGCAGCATCTGCTACGCCTAGTGGATGGACTTTCACATTTCATGACAGTGCTTGTCTTTCCTGTCAGAACACCGTAGGATCATTCTCCTGTTATGGAACACCAAATTTCTGTTGAGCAAGTGGCATTAACTTCAGCACAGAGCTTTAAGTACTCACATTAGCCACTCTGGAAGAATCATAAGTTTTCCTTATACCCCAGATGACATTGCACAAAACTGATGCAGTTATACTTCAGCATCTCTTCAATAATTTCTAACACAACTTTCTGTGACACATACATTAGCTCTGTGGCATTTTTTGCATAATTGGAGCTGTTCATAATATACATTTTAAGTAAGTTGCATTGCCTTTTCAAATTAATCTGTCCTGCTCCCACACCGTAAGCACAGTGGATACTCAGAAATCTCGTCACTCAATAAGCATTCCCTGTGGCTCTGGAAGGAACAGCCTAAATAATTTAGTCTCTAATATTTACCCACAGATTTCTTTAAAAAAAGATAAGGAAATTCTGAAAAGCAGATATATGTCCCTTGACAGAGGCAGCTTCCCAGACATGGAAACTGCCCTTTCATATGACAAAAATTACTGATTATGGTCAGAGTGGTTCTCTGTTGAGCCAAGCACTTCCCTATTGTTATTTTGGCACTGAAAAGCCTCGTATCAGTGGATCTGTTCTTTTTGAACACTTCAGCTTCTAGAGCTTCAGGGCACAAATGTATTTAATACTTTCCAGCAGAAATTCTGTTTCTGCTGCTCTGATGCAGCTCAGCATCCAGTTGCACTGGACTGGAGGGGACTATTACGATTCAGCCTTAAGGAAATTCTAGTTTACAGAGAGAAATGACAGAGATTTTTATTGAATATTCCTCCAAAACAAAGATTCATCAGCCAATATACATAACCTGATTTCTCATACGGTACAAAATAACCGCAAAAAGCCTCCAGACTTTGGTAATTCACATTTAAATCAGGAAAAAAGTACTGCAAAAATGATACTAGTTGGCTTGTTTTATGACAAGAAAACCATTTTAACCAGAGTAAGTTGTATTTTGCTTAGCAATGTAGCAATTCACACTATTACTTATGCTCACAGTTAAACTTATTTTCTCTACATTTTACCAGTATTTCAAATTAGAACAGCCTCTCTGAAACACTAATTGTAATTATTACCCATCCCAAGATCATTCTCACACTTTTTTGCTTAGAACTGGTAACAATGATGTACATGGATCAGATAATCCCTATCTCTCATTGTAATTGCATGGGAATTTTGTTTTCTTTTGAGTCAGTAATGTCTAAATTGGATTAAGATAAGTCACTTATAAGCCCTTCTCTACAAAAGTTGCTTTCATGACTGCTATATTTAATGCCATTTTACTCTAGAACTTAATTTTTTACACCACTCTCATATGAATGAGTTTCCATGAAGTTCATACTCAACTTCAGACTATTCTTAAGGAATAAATACTCTATGAAGAGGAAAAAAATATACCCTAAATTATGTTTTTGATGACATACTCATGAGTGAATGTAACAACAGTCACACTGGAACTCTGCATTATCATGAGACGAAATTCAAATTATATGATCAGAAGAGTGACCAATCTCAAAATCAGAAGACTTAGTCTATCTAATAATGTGTGTTTAAACATCTTTACACTCCTCTGTTTGGACAATTGCTGCTCTTGGCAATAATAATCTGAGTGGGTGGCTGAGAATAGAGCTGGCAGATGTAGTACTGGTGCAAATTATTGCTACTTAGCACATTCGCTTATCCAGGGAAACATTTTTTATGATTCCACAAGTTAGCCAGAAGTAATTAAAATATTTTTCCTGTCAATACCTGGAAAAAAAATCGGTAGAGTATTCAAGATTTATTTTATAATTGTAACTGAATTGTCACTGTGGTCAATGTCACAAAGAAAACCCTGAAAAAATTAAATACGTTCCATGTGCCTAATTTGTCTGTTTTGTGGATTTTTTTTCAATATTGCAATTGGAGACCTCATAATGCCTATGTGACTGCTGATACACATTACCAAGACCAAATAATGCCAACCATAAAATTTTGATTAGTTTTTTCTTTATTCTGGCATGTTATTGCTTTCATTATTTTAGCTAGAGAAATTAATGACAGAGGCAACAGGAAAGCAAAATACTGCTCAAAATTACTGAAAGCCATATACAGTTAAAATATAGTGAAATTAGCAGTCGTTATTTCTGTGTTGACTGCTTCTACAGAATGTAAAGGAAGACATCACAATACAAATAGTACTTGTTCTTTGGATCATATATATATGAAGTTTCCTTAATGTCCTGGTTTGGGCTAGGATAGTTAATTTTTTTCCTAGAGGCTGGTACCCTATTGTGTTTGGGATTTAGTACGAGAGTAATATTGATAACAAACTAATGTTTTGGTTGCTGCTAAGTAGTGTTTAGTCAAGGACTTTTCAGTTTCCTGTGCTCTGCCTGCGAGGAGCTGCACAAGAAGCCAGGAGGGAGCACAGCCAGGACCCAAACTGGCCAAAGGGGTATTCCATACCACACAACATCATGCTCAGTATATAAAGTGGGGGGAGGTGGCTGAAGGGCAACAACACTTACCTGCAAATTATTACTCAGGTGCATTAACCAGGCTGTGATTCCAAAACTGCTTTTTTTTTATTTTTTATCTACAGTGTATTTTTATACACATTTAAGCAAAACATACACTTTTTAATCTTATTTTAGAACTATGCCCTGGATAAATAGCCAATATTTTTTAAAAATCTGATCTCTAAAGAAACAAAAAAAAAGAGAAAACCTATTTATGTATACCAATATTACAGCAGTAATGTATACAAGCTGTACTTTCTCAGGAAAAACAGACTTCTCTCAGAACAAGTGAACTTTAGGCTGGTTTCTCTTTTAGGTGAATTATTTAAATAACAATGGTAATATAGCAACTGTGGAGATCTAAGCAAGGTTGGCATAGTAAGAGAAAAATTATGTTTAAGCAATTGATGTAACTTGGTAAAAAACAAACTAGCCATGGAGTCGGAGTCTATTATAGGCCTTTTAATTGAGTCATTACTAAGTAGACAGGTAGTCTAAGTATAAAACCTAAAGTAACATATGTTTCAACACTAATTGCAACCAGAATCCAGATACAGTACCTTAGCTTTATCCCTCATGGATCCTTTTCCCAGGATGGACATTTTTGCACCTGTTTCTTCTTGTAACCTCTTTAAAGAGTTTCCTCTTGGTCCAAGCAATTTCCCAACAAAATTGAACTACAAAGCAAATAAGAGAACTCTTTTAGACCAACAGGTAATTTTCCAAAAATTTAATAAATCTTTATAAACAAATGGATTAAAAAAGAAAAGTTTACTTTCCTTAAAAAGAAATACTTCTACTTAGCTCTGAGCCTAATTCATGGGATACAAGACTGGAGAACCAAGGTATCCTCTTATCTAGTGTGAAAAACAGTAAAAGTATTTACCTGTTGACTTAATAAAAGTTATCAACTCTTCAAAATGGGGTAGGATTTAGAGATGCTGTCGCTATCAAGGTATCAACAAATCCTATGTCTTCAAACTATAGTAGCTATGCTTCTGCCAGGGAAAACTTGGCTTAGAAGTTGTTGTTGGTTTCAAATTGATTATTAAATTTTGTATGAAAATAAAACAAAGACTGAGAAAGAAATGTCAAGGACTGAATTTTGACTTTAATCACAGACTGTAGACTTAAACTATTGATAGAATTAAGATTTCAAAAATGACATATCCCATGTACATGGAGATTTTTCAGAGATGGCTGAGCAAAGAGCAAAGCTTTTGTTCCTCTGTAGGGAACAAAAGGGACTCTGTAGGGACTCCCTTATATGCAGAAATGGGGGATGCCACTACTTACGACACCAAATCTTTTGTGCCACTTATACTTCACCAATCAGGCAAAACCCATGTCCTACTGTATTGTTTTAATGACTTTTAGTATTAAGAAAAGCTGCCCGTTGAAAGCTGAAAGAGCTATAACGGTATGTAAGTCTGGAGGAAATTATGAGGAGGCCAGCCAAAGCTTGACTATATTTGTTCCCTGAATGGAATAAAACTATTAAAATACACTCTATGAAGATTTATGTTGACCATTTATATTTAAGTACTTCATAAACTGTCTAATCATTACTTTGACATATTGCTGCAAAGGAGTGGTATGGCCAGCACAAACTATGTTATGTACTAAGTGGATTTTAATCACTTCACAGGAAATAAGTGGCTGGGGATTTTAATTCTATTGATTATACAGCAGACAGGCACTCACATTTCATCCACTATCTACAAAACACATATCAGGAAGCAAGCAGTTATTTACAACTGAAAAACTGAATTGCTCTTAGTTTGGTTTTGTCTAAAGCTGAAGAAAAGCCAGGGCACTATAGCAGCCATTCTACTGTTGTGCCTGGTATTACCAGTGTCAGTTTGGGACCACTGGCTATCCTCAGTACCATCTATAATCACAAAACTCCCCAAACTCTGAAACTACTGATAGAGTAAATCTGACTTAATAACTTGTGAAAAATTATATCCTTTATATTCACATATAGGTAAAACCAGCCCATAAGAAATAGAAAGTTTTAGTGAACAGCACAAACTGTAAGAAATTTGAAATACAACCTCATTCCTTTTTTTTTATTAAGATATGCTGGACAAGGACCTGAGTAGAACCAATTTTACTATTGGAAGTCTTAGGCTCCAGTTACAGCCACGCACATGCACACACAACCTAGGTAGTATAGAGACAGTGAAGGAAAACATGGAAACTCAGGCAGTTTGACTGCATTTAATGATTAGCCTTGCCCACAAACACACTCCTGGTACAGCAGCTGTAACTGCAGATCTTATAATGCAATCTCAGTTCCAATCCAATTCTGCCATGTGTACAAATTTTCTCCAAATAATAGTAGCTCTAAGTCTCTGGGATAATATCTGGTCATATTAGGAGAGGATAGGTGAGAAATGCTGATATATAGAAGACAGAGTATTAACAGAAAGCTTTCATTGCTGGAGAGCAAACTGACTTCCACTTGAAAAATATGGTTACTGTTGTGATACTAGATATTTTTACAGGAGACTTAACTTTTCAATCTTGTTTATGAACATGAGCTAGGCTTTCTGTCTTCTTGCAGAAACCCTTCCTGGTTTATGAAAAAGATTTTGTACATTATTTTCTTAGATTTTTCTATAATTTGTCTGGGAGAGATGATGCATGTCTTCAGAAGAAAATGATCAGAAGAAAGCAAGAGATGCTTCACTTATAATCAAATGCATATGATGCTCCATGTGTCAACAACTGTGCAATAAACCTTCTCCTGTGCAAAATAAAACCTGACAGACAATGTAGCTCAATAGATCTTTCCAGTAACTACAGTCAAGTCTCCCCAACATCTTCCCCAACCTATATATACACACAGTTTCACTAGATTTATCTGCATCCTGATTACTTTCACACTTCACTCCTTACAAGCAATCAGACTGTAAAGGTGCCCAAAGCCAACACTCCAGCTTCTCAGTCTTCATCAAAGTTTTGTTCATAAAACTTTTTTTTTTTTAATATTCATATGGAAATAACCAGAAATTATACTGCACATGTGGAAACATAGAAATTCCTCCCTTTACGCTACCTGTGCTGTTGCCATCTGTCTGGATGTGTGTGTATGGCCAGTCTTCGCGAGCGAAGATTTGGGAAAGGTCATTACCCTTTGAGCCTGCGCAGTGGATTTTTTAGGTGAGACACAGTGTGCGCTGAACTGAGCCCACCCTTTAATCCTAAGGTTCATCTGCCGGGGCCGAGCAAGCTTGGACAGTGGCAGTGAGGTCCTCAGGACGTAGGTTTGTTTAGAGTGACCTTCTCTTAGACGGATTGCCTCACAGGGCTGACGAGCTCCATCTGCCCGGGGGAGTTTCCCTGACCAGGAATCGAACCCGGGCCACAGCGGTGAGAGTGCTGCATCCTAACCACTAGACCACCAGGGGTCCCCCATCTGTCTGGATAGCTTTGTGCTTAAACACAAAGAAAACTTACTGACAGTGTGAGACATTCTGTTCAACTGTATATGCTAGGGATGAATACTTAAAACCAAGGATTTAGATACCCAAAAAGTATACAGAACATGGAGAAGTCTTAAGAATTAATTATATGAAATTTCTTAGAATAAAAATCTGCCCATGTTAGTCAAAAGCTTAGGGTTGTGTTCCATGCATGAATACATATATAATCACAGATTTGTTCATCATTAAACCCCCTTGCAATAAAACACACTGCACATCAACAGACCTCACTTGTTCTGGGTTAAGACACTGAGAAAAGAATCCCTAAAACTAACCAGGTGTTGTCAAGCTGGACCACAGGACAGGCAGTCTGTCTCCCAGTGTAAATATGGTTTTTATGAAATGCTAGAGATTAATTATAACCTGTGTTGTGAACAAAATGTATGCATTGACCAGTTCTTAAAATATATCCTACAACTGACAATGTTGTAATAGTCTGAAGTGTTCTGCAGCACCTCAAGAAGATTGCCACATGCATTTATTCTCATTGCCATGCTTGAACCTACCTCCTTCGATATGTGTCAAGCGTTGCTCTCAGAAGTCACAATATCAGCAGAATTATAGAATTGTTTGGGTTGGAAGGGATCTTAAAGACCATCTAGTTCCAAACCCCTGCCATGGGCAGGGACACCTCTCACTAGACCAGGTTGCCCAAAGTCCCATCCAGTCTGGCCTTGATCATTTCCAAGGATGGGGCAGCCCCTGCTTCTCTGGGCAACCTGTTTCAGTGCCTCATGACCCTCACAGCAAAGAATTTCATCCTAATATCTAATCTAAACCTACTCTCTTTTAGTTTGAATCCATTCTTCCTTGTTCGGTCACTACATGTCCTTGTAAAAAGCCCCTCTACATCTCTCTTGTAGGTTCCCTTCCTACTGGAAGGCTGCAATTACGTAACCCCAAGCCTTCCTTTTTCCAGGCTGAACAAACCCAATTCTCTCAGCCTCTTTTCTATGAGAGGGGGTCCATCCCTCTAATCATCTTGGTGGTCCCTCAATGACTACAGAATTGAAATTAAAAACACACGCATATTTTGAAGTTGATATTTACAAAACATCTGATTAATATCACCTTGCAAATTCAGGGGAAAGTTTCTTCTGTCTATGGCATGTTAAAGCAAATTGTCTAGGAGACAAGCACTACAGGAGCTTCAACTTTGAAGTGGGCATCAAAGACAGACACAGCTTCACTACTGTGTCTGCGTTGTATGAAGGATGGGAAAAACAAAGATAGTGAACTTGTGCTCTAGAGAAACTGTAGCTGCACTTAAATGCACTTAAATGCACTTAAATGCCCTTAGCACCTGGCACTGGAGCCCTCTTGGGAGGAGTTCATCCTGACAGCTACAAATGGGGCTGAGACATCTGGGATGATAGAAGCTGTTGACTCTGTTGACTTTCATCACTACCTCATCTTTTACTGCGAAGAATTGTAATCAACCACTGATCCTTACCTTGGTTGTCTACATGGGACTCACTTTATTCTCAGTATGTCATAAACTGGCCTTTGAATAAGCAAAGACATGGTCAGTTCTCTAGCAAGACTCATCACAGAGGTGGGCTGGCAGTGCTGATCTGCCTATGTGCGCCGAGGCACACTGTGAACCTCCCAAGAGCTGGGACACTCTTGGGGGCAAGGTCCGGTGGGGTGTGAGGGGTGTCTGGCAGGGGGCTCCCCAAAGCCAGCAGCAGTCTCAGGCTGAGAACACTCACACACACAGTCCTACCTGCCTGGCCACATTGCACCATTAGAAGTACATCAGAAGTTACTCCACTACACAGCAGGATTAAGTGCTCCCCCATAAAAGCACACTTATCCTTCTCCCTACCTCCCTTTGCACACAGGGGCAAAAGTGCTGGTAACCAATTAAGCAAAGAATAATATTACTAGCTGTTATGTTGCAACATAAAGCTCTAACCTGCTGTTCTTTCAAGATTGAAAACTATTTAATATTAGTAAGAATTTTTTACTACCTCAGGACAGCAAACCATAGGTACAAAAAATCTAACACATAGTTTACAGCATTAACATTCAAGCCTCAAGCTAACTACAATGACTAGTAGAAAATGCATGTTTACATTTAGAAGAGTATTTGCTTCCCTGTTTGATGTAGCCCAAATATATGTCTACTACAACTGTAACATTTCTTATTTATAAACACGAATTTAATAGGGTTTTATAAGCAG